TTGCCTTCCTTGGGAGTCATCACCACCTTATGACTGAGGAGACTTCCACTATGGAATTGAGGGGGAGGGATATTTTTTAATCATTATCTCAAAACTGTCTGATCAATATTTTCTCACTTCTTGGGGAAGAAAAGCAGCCAGGCACGGAAACTGCAGAGAAGACCAGCACCTCTGCCCTCCCTCCCAGCCCAGAGGCACGGACAGAAATATCTGGAAAAGGAACCAGCATCAAAGCTGCTCCTCACTAGTCCTTTCCTGCAACACTAGGACTGGGAAGGCTAGAGCTCATCAGTGCTCAGATCTTCATGGCTTGGCTTAGCACTTGTAAAGGACCTCTGCAACTGTGCAATAAGCAGAGATGTGCTGAACAGTTTTGGGAAGAGTAGAACCAGGCATCTAAGACAGGGATCTTCAAAAAGTGATACAGTAAGTGGGATGTTGCTTACCAGTAGAAAATGCTGAGAAGAGGAGCAACTGCCAAGCCCTGGACCTTGAAAAGAGCTATATCCCTAGCTCAGTGATGGTGGTAAGGCAATTGTGTCTGCTCCAGATTTTGCAGATACTGGAGTGAGTCCAGCAAAGGGCCATGAAGATGAGTAAGGGATTGGAGCATCTGTTGTACAAGGAGAGGCTGAGAGAGCTGGGACTACTCAGCCTGAAGAAGAGAAGGCTTATGGGGAATCTTATCAATATGTATAAACACCTGAAAGGAGGTTGTAAAGAAGAGGGAGCCAGGCTCTTCCCAGTGGTACTCATGAAAAAGTGTAAGAGGAAACGGGCATAAATTAAGAAATGTTACATTTCATCTAACCACAACAAAAATTGTTTACAATGAGGGTGGTCACACTAGAACAGGTTGCCCAGAGAGGCTGTGGAGTTTACATGTGGAGATATTCAAAACCTGACTGGACACAGTCCTGGGCAACTCGCTGTAGCTGACCCTGCTTTGGGGAGGTAGTGCTTGGGCTAGATGATCTCCAGCGGTCCCTTTAACCTCAACAATTCTATGATTTGGTCATCAGCCAAAGACACACAATAATCCCAAGCCTTTTAGGCAACAATGAAATCTCCTTTATGACACTTTCATTTAGCCTAAGCAATAAAATGGTCATTAGGTGACAGAGAAAATGAAAAAAAGAGTGACTATAGCCAGAGGGTTAGGGTAAATCAGGTTGAAATTTCTTGCTTCACATAATATTTCATAATGATATGAAGTATAACAGGTTTTGAGAAAAGCACTGAGAAAAAAAATAAAATGCTTTTCTCAGAACACCAACTGCTTGGTGACAAGGAAATTTTCTGCAATATTAGAAGAGGCAATTAAGTTCTGACCTCCACGTGCCAGCTGACCGCTCCAGTACTGGGAATATTAGGTACCAGTCATCAATCAGGAATTTCATGATTTTGGGAGGGAAATGAGAGTGGAGTTTAGACCAGAATCTGTGGGTTTGAGACTTGTGAGGATCTGTAAGGTGTCAGAACATGATTCACAAAAGAAGTGAAAACAGTAAAATTATAAAAACCTCACATGTACATACCCATACATATTCTCACCCATGTGAGCAAAAACAATGTAGAAAATCACAGGGAATACCTGAAGAATCAGTTTATCCTCAGTCTAATTTGGTTGTAAATGAAACCTGTGGAAAACACTGCTCAAAAGAGCTGTGGATTCTGCCTAAGGAAAAAAAAAAAAAAAGAAAAAAAAAAGGTTAAGTCATCCTTGGTTGAAAAATGAAAGGGTTGTGAAACACTTGTTTGGCTGACCTCCAGATGCCTCTAAAAAGTCAAATCTTGCAGGTAGCTTGGGAAGATCTAATTTGATAAAAACGACACTGTGAACTGAAGTTCTGCACAACTTGCTAAAGAAAGACAGAATATTGGCAATTTTGCATGATGGCCAGAATCATAACAGACTATAATGCCCAGTAGGACAACAAGGGGCAGGCAGCAGCTGTGATGGGGGTTTTGGGAGCCTCAGAGCCTACCTGGAAGGAAGTGAACAATCAGACCATCTACTTTAGGTACCTAAGTCTGACCCATAGCACCCAAAGTAAGTAAACTGTGTTCCTTAGGTAGTGCGTGGAAAGTCACAGATAAATTCAGAGGGCCTAAGTTAGATCCTCATATAAAATGATGTGAACACTTTTCTGTATCAAATTGGCTAGCCAAATCCCCCAAAGGATTCAGCTGCTGCAGCACATTAAACGTAGACTCCTGGCCACAGAAGAGGAATCCAGAATCCCATAAACGTCATGGGAATAGCTACACACTTCAAAGTGAGACTGAAAACAGGCAGCACATTAGAAAGGGCATACTAAGTCAATGTCCTAGGTATGCTTTTATCTGAGGTCACTGAAACCCATATTCCAGAGAACTACTCTTTACTGCACTGAGGTGGTGGTGGGGGACAAGGGGTTGGGAGTGGTGTGAGGTAGACCCCACACTCAAGTTGAATTTATGTCCCTGCAAAGGAAAGAATTAATCATAGAATCATAGAATAGTTTGGGTTGGAAGGGACCTTTAAAGGTCGTCTAGTCCAAGATTAACGAAAGAATGCAAACATGAACATGATTCTGTAATCTGGTGGCTAGACACTCCCGTGGGATGGGAGATACCTGCTTCACAGACTACTTTTCACCTTTAAAGGTCTGGAATTTCCCTGAAGTCTTTTGGAAATAAAAACCCAGCAACATCCAGGGCTTTGGGAAGAACATTTTATTGCTAAGCATATCTTTAAACAAAATGCAAATAAGAAAAGAAAAAGAATCAAAAAGGAAGAAGAAAAAGAAAGGGGAAAAAAGCAATAACATCACGATAACTCAAATAAAAATTCTTAAGATTGTCCATAAAGCAACAGGGATATGGTAGAAGCCCACATACAGAAATGCACATGTTCCCAAAAACTGTCCAATAGAAACTTACACAAAAAAAGGAAAGTGTAAATCTTTTTCCCATAACTTAAAAAAGGAAAGCAAAAAGGAAAGGAAGAAAGAAAGCAGGAAATCATTTCACAAGACTCCAAGACTCCAAGAACAGCAATCTTTTACAGACATCAAGATATAATCAACTTTATATAGCTTCGGCCAGTTAAATCATCTAAAATCGTGCTTTCATACCTTTTTAAAACCTGTCTTTTTTTTTCTTTTTAGTATAAAAAATAAAAAAGGAAAAAAAAGCTCAACCTCGCACACACGCACACGCACCACACACACGCACACATACACGCACTGAAAATATTTGTTAACATGAAAGCGTCTTCTCTAAATGTTTGAGAAGGCTGTTTTTTTGAATTTAAGTTCCCATGTGCGTGTGTGTATTTGATGATACTTCTTCAAAGTCAAATATTCATGCGACTTATAAACACCAGCAAGAGTAGATTTCTAAACCTAAACAGCTGATTAGTTTTCATCCGTATACAGAAAAAGTGTACATTTCTGATATTCCAGAGTTCTCAATCCATCTTGTTTTTTGTTGTTTTCCTCTCTGTCTCTCTCTCCCTCATTTGCTTTTTTGGACATGATAGGCATGGCCATCAAACCACCTGGCTATTGTTCTGTACAGTAAGAGAATCCTTTTCACAATAACTGGGAAAATGTAGAAAACAAACACCCAAATTAAATAAGTTAAATAAAAACAAAAGACGTTCCCAATTTAACCATAAAACAGTATATATGCCATCAGGGTATCCATATAGAAATTATACTAGCAAAAAAAAAAAAGTAGTAAAATATGTAAACAAAATTTCAGATTTTTTTTTTTGACACAGGTAACTGTGACAAAGCTAAAACACACACTCTTTTCACATTTTAAGGTTTGCTTTTGTTGTCTGTTTCATTTTACTTTGTTCTTCAAGAACATTCTCATTCCACATTAAGATCATAACAGAACTTCTGTTCCAGTTGTCCCGTCAAACATACCATGATAAATATATCTGTGTGTATATATATATATTATATTATTAAATGCCTTTTTCTTTATTATTCTTTGTGTGTCACAGCAGCTTTATTTATTTTCTTTTATATAAAAGAGAAGGAAAAGGGAGAATAGGGCAAATGGAAAGACAGAGATGATCTGAAATGTCAAGTTACAAAATTAAAATATTACATATGAAAAACAGTTTTATGTCAAAAAAACTATGTATTTTGCATTCTTTTACAAGTGTTTAGCTTTTCTGACATTTATGGGTCTTGTCACAAGTTGAACTCCAGTGGTGTCTTTCTGATCTCTTTATTAAACTGATTTATTATTGGTTTTTGCATGCATTGCAATCAGTCGCAGAACCAGAACCCAGAAGGCTCCTTTATTTTTGCATGGTATATTCAGCTCAGAATGGTTAACCATTTTTTAAGCATTCTTTTCTGAATCTTCACATCCCTTTAACCACAGTTTGGCTGTGCTAATGCATACTAAGGGATATTCTCAAATAAAGCCAATGACTGATCAGAACAGACCCAAACCCATCTATTCTTCAGTTCAATTGCAAATACTGGAGCCAGATCCAAGGGATCCAGCTTTTCATGACGATTTTCTTCAGCACCACCCATCAGACACTTTCACTGCGTTGTTAGCAAACAACTTAACTGCAAGACAACGGATTCTAGAGACAACACAACCAGATATGCAGAGTAAACAACATGGGTAGCTTTTGAGTTCATATATGGCAATAGTCTCTCTTTATTTATTATGGGTTTGGTTTTTTTTTTCTGAGATTTCTTCTCAACTCATGTCCTGGTTCACCCCCCACACCATTCCTCTTCACCCTTCCCTCCCACACCCAAAAGTAACCAAAAAAACCCAAACAAAAAACAACCCAAGAAACAAAACAAAACCAAACCAAAAAACCAACAATCTCCAAAATCATTTATTCCCCTCCTCCAATCTCAAAAAATTATATGTATGCTGGACACGGCCAGATCAGTTTGTTCAATATTTTTTTGTTGTTTAATAATGTTTGCATTTTTTTCTTTTTCCTTCCTTTTTTTTTTTATATAAGTAAACTGAAAAATTATCGATACAGTCAGGGATCACGAACATTGTTAAAGACTCACTTGGAGATACGAAACAAGTAAGCCATGAAGTCTTCTACCTTTGCAGAAAGTTCAGCGGAGGAGGAGATTTGGAGACGTCCAAGTTCACTAACAGGGCAGAGCTGTGCGCGCCATCTCCAGAACGCTAAGTGTGCTTTATAATACATTAGGGCAGAGTTTGCTGACTCCAAGCGATGACTGAGACACTAACAGTCACTGCTGAATTTTTTTTTTTCCCAATACTTTTTCCCACAAACGATATCTCCCAATCTCGTTCACTGCAATGGTTCTGATATTTCAGTTAAATCGCATTAAGTATTTATATATTTATATATAAATAAGTATTCTTTTTTACACATAATACTCTTTGTCCTTGTTTTTCTGTTTCTTGTGGCCGCTCTTTGAGCTCTGCTGCTTCTCCTTCACGAGCGTGCCGTTGCTCTGGGCTGAGTTGCTGATGTAGTTCCGCGTCTCGTCCACCTGATAGGACCCCTCGTCCCTGTTCCTGTACTTGTACATGGCGTACAGGAGGATGAGGATGCAGAGGGCAGCAGCAGCCACAATGCCGACGACCATCCCCGTTGTGCTGCTCGACTCGCGGACCACCTCTGAGGCCCCCGGAACCCGTCTGATTCCCGGCTCCGTGGGGTTTGCTGTGGGCACATTACGGAACATGGGGGAAGTGATTAGCGGGCTCTTCAGCTTTGTGCTGTCTAGCTCATAGGCAGTGGGCAACGGAAGCAAGACTATGTCAGGCTGGGGTTTGAGCTCACGGTTATTCATTTTGCCGGCTGGCAATTTGGGCACCATCCCAGTCGAGGACGAAGCTGTGGAGCGGATCAGCTCAGGGGACAAAGACGTGGTAGTAGTCCTACCAGTTTCGGAGACTTTGTTAGGTCTAAAGTCCTTGGATTCCCACTTGGGTGCGTGTGCTTTGTAGCCACCTTCGAAGATTGAAGTGGAAAGACTCTTATCTGTTACCAAGGAGAAGGTGGTGTAAAAATCTTCATCATCAGTAGGGGGTAGGTTAGAGTCAAAGGTTTCCCCTGAGCCATACCCAGATATCACCAAGCCATCATCATCACAACCATCGCTGCCTTGGTCCGACAAGCAAGGTAACCCCGCCTCAGAGGTCATGGACAGGGAATCTTTGGTGGTCTCAATAATGGTGAGGAGGGGGCGAAAGGTAGGGGGAAGTGTAATGAAAGGTGCACGAGTAGCAATAGGAGGGATATCTAAAGGGTCTTCTACAAGTAGAGGGATAACTAATTCACCTCCTGGGATGGAAAAGAGAAAAAAAAGAAGATTAGTACATTTTAATGACACAACGCACCATTTTCAATTCACTTAACTCAAGGGCAAGAGAAGATTTGGGCATTATGAAAAAGTGTCAGGGATCGGGTTTCTCACCCTAACTACACTACCACCATACTTTCCTGAGGGTGCCTTTCATTCTTCCCTCCCACCCTGCTTTGACGTTGGTAAACTGCATGTTCCATTTCCTCCCTCTTTTAGCCTATGCTAGGTACATACAGTGAAATACTCTGAATTTTTTGGGACCCAAAGTTTTTGATTCTTGAAGATACTCTCAAGTGACTCTGTGGACATTAATTTTTGGTAGGGATCTTTCTTAAGCATTTGGTTACAAGGCTGTCCAAATGAATTATTTTAGACTTCCATAGAGCAATGTTCTCCTACATGGATTTCACCACTCATCTTGCCAGTTTTTCCTCCTCTGATTCTTTTCATTTAAACTAATATTGGTATTTTGTCTTTGCCATTCAAGTCTGCTCACCTTCTGTAGCAGTTTATAAGGCCTTTCCCATTCATCCATTTCTTCTTGATTGTTGCCTGGTTTTTAAATTGTGGGAAAGTTCATGAAAGTGAGGGATGGAATAAGAACCAAGTACTTACTGGGGTCCGCGAAGGTAGAGACCTCTACTCAACACTTGTTCATTTCTTTTTAATCTTTCTTTACCATTCTGTTCGACACTAGGGATGACCCTTTCCTTGCATCTTTTGGGGCTACTAATGCCATACTATCTTCATCTTCTGTTCTTCTTGATATTCTTTTACTATAATTTGATTAAAAATTAAGATAGACTTTATTGTGATTGATGATATAACTGAATAAGGACACTTGAGCCCAGCAGTGTACTGCAGAAGTTGTCTTCACACCTACTGTTACCTCTTGATACGCAGATAGCTGTGATCAGTGCTGCTTTTTCCTAACGTGATGGCTACCTGCCTACAGAGGAGTAAAAATGAGGTGGACTTATGGTCTACTCCTGAAGTAGAACAATGCTGTAACATTTGTACCTTACCACAGTATAAGCTGCAACTGAAACAAGAAAATCAGTGCATCATTTCTAAGATTTGGTTTCTGAGCAGCAATATTGCTACTCTTAGGGTAGTAGTCCTGTTTTGTCTACATATTGTAATATGACTGTACTTCTACTTTTGAGGGTAATTAACACTCCACTGTTTTATTCTGATGTGGAGGCATAATTAATTTATCTAATTTAGATAGTTCATTTAAGTTCATATGAATATTCACATTTAATATTCATATTCATATTCATTTAGTTCAGATTACATAGTCTTCTGCTGACATACAGGTCGCTGACACTTTTTTAGGGTGAGCCATATTGCTTTTGAAAGTTTGTGTATAAATTCTCTCTTGGGTAATTTTTCTTTAGCTAGCCACTTAAGTTAGCTGCTTTAAATATAAACTGAAGAGTTCATCTGACACCATGAGTAGTCATCCAGATTTGTTGGAAGGAGTGCAACTCAGTAAGAAGTATTTCTAATGCATGGGAAATTTTGATTTATACTCACCATTGCTTAAGGAAAGATATGCAATAGGAATTTTAGCTTCTAAATAAATAATTCTGGCTTTTACTTATGTATTAATAACTGCTAATGAACAGTTTGGCATTGTTACAATGCTCAACAGCATCAGGGTCAAAATTCTGCTCTCTCCTATCTACACTATATATTACATGCACTTGTTTCCTATTGAATACTGCCAGTAACGTCCATGGGAGTTCTATAAATAAGATAGTCTAAAATCATAATCCCTTCTAAATATATTTGGAGAGAAATAAATTTGAACAAATTACATATTGAAGATAGCAATATACTGAAAAAAAGTACTTAACAGTCTGATTAAATCTGGATAGCTGAACTAGCAATACGGCTTATTCTTATCCTTAATGAGAAACTAAGTGGTGACACAGTTTAATCAATTGAAATAGTCAGATTTATCTCAGAGATATCAGGGTACAAATTAGGCCAAAATAAGAAATGTGGTACTTTGCATACTTTCATGCAGAGTTAGTTTTAAGCTAAGATACAAAGTGCCAATTTGAATATGTTGTTTAGTTTTCTGAGCTTCCCCAGCATGTTCATACCACTTTTGTTGCTGGATAGAAGACAAAGGAGTAAGTATCATATGTGTAAAATAATGCCAATCTCTTCAAACTACATATCTTCAAAAAACTATGTAAAAAGCAGAAAGTGTAGTCTGCCAAATGGCTACACAGCATTTTGTGCTCATGCATCTGAGCTGTTTTCTGTGCAATGTAAAAACTAGAGCACGTAATATGATTTATATATGTCCAGAAGCCCTATCCGTGGCTAGAGTAGGGCATCTATAATCTATGCAAACAGGCGGTCTCAGGATGAACTTGGGAGTATGCCTCAGAGGGAAAGATCATCTGTGAGTCCAGTAAAAAATGAATAAAAATAATAGCATTTCAGTGCGCATTACATCAAATTGCGTGAGTGGGGAATTTAAGCTCCAGAAAGTCACAGGTAGGTAGTGTCCTTTTAAATGATTTTTTTAAGATCAGTTTTTTGCTGTTAAAAAGTAGTATTCATCTGTGATTTTCATTCACCATCTGTAACACCCAATTGGAAAAAAATCAGTTTGGCAGCTTTTAATTGCTCATCTAGAGCTTTGAAGTGCCTTTGCTCTTAAAATCTATTATACTGGCACACAGCATCAGTATGCAGTTGATCTGCCACTCACTGGGGCAATATTTTGGGCAGTTTTCTTCCAAAGAAAAATTCTTTTGGCCCTATTAACAATTCATTTTCTTGAAGGAATCAGAAATATCTTACATTTAATATGAAGACCTTTCTTTTGCCCCAGTAACCCTTGCCTTTAAAACCTGGTCATAGTCCTACAGTTTTTGTTGCTGTCGAGGACTTGAGCCAATGATCAAGACTACTGCAACTATAAAAACGATCACGGTCTTCCTGAAATATTAAGAAAAGTTGATAGAATTGCTATGGTAAGTGCGGTTTCACAAAAGTGATGGAAAGCAGATCAAAGCTTTTTGATTCCAGCAAGTCTGTTGGATGGAGGACAATAGGACAGAATCAGGAATGAGTTTTACAAAGTTTTACTCTCACGATGTATGTGAGCAGAGAAATAACTTTCATACCAGGAAGACTGGATTAACTTTTATTTCCCATACAATTATTTAATCTCATCTCCAGTTTTATTCCAAATTGTCCAATGATCCATATTATGATTACCTGTATACTAAAGAAATAAAGAGACTGTTAAAGGTCCTTCATTAGGAATCACTTCCCCATCAAGGAGTTCATTTGTTACATTTACTTAAGACAACATACTTTTGGGGAGTATCAGGGAGATGGCTGTAAGGTTGGTAACGATACTTTGCAGTTATTTTTCTTTCTGTCTGTAATGGAAGAAACTGAGACTGAAAAAAAGCCCTGTGGGAGAAAGTAACTCAGAAAAAGCAGTCTAGGTATCAAATCTGGCTTCTGTTTTATTGGTATGTTAGGCATCTATGCGAAACTCACAGCAAGCTAGAAGTTGTAGGTCTAATAGGATGAAAGCACAATGAATACTTCTTGGGGGATGTGATTTATAGAGAAGTTAAAACATCCTTTAAAATGGCATGATAAAAATGCCACTCAGTCTAAAAGAAATGTGTATTTAAGGATAACAGAATGTAAATTCTGAAAAGCTCCCAGGAAAGTGTTAAAACGTGATCGCCAATATCTATGGAGGGGAGCAAGTGCAAACTTTCATAGCATACCTGCAAACAACTCTGTTACTGGTACTACATTTCTACTCGTAAGAGACACAAGGGGGAGTCTGATGACAGGCAGATGATAAGTGTGCATGTAGGGGGAACCATCTTTCACAAAATGACAGCTGATGCAGCAGGAAGCTGCCTAGAGCTGGTGGTCCTTTGGTGGAGAAGTGGTGCGTCTTGCCCAGGGCCCCAAGTTTGTTTAAAGGTAAGCACTGAAAGATTTAAAAGACAAAGTGCCACTCGATTGCCAAGATAATATTTTACATGGGATTTGGATCTTGAAAGGTTTCCTGTGGAAGGCTAGTGCTTTAAAGATTTGGATCTCTAGAAAAAGTTAAAGAGGAGCCCCTGAAAAACCTCCCATCACAATTTGGAAGGGTAATACATTTGAGACTGGTTTTATGCTTGTATTTTCCTGTCTGAAGTTTTTATTTTCTCACAGTGTCTACCATTTTTTCAATTGCAAAATTAACGCTTTGCAGCCTTAAATAAAACTTACAGTTTTAATTTCCAAATTGTTCTGTGCTTAAAAAAAATGGCAAGGCTGCCACCCAGTTTGGGCCATGTCTTCAAAACAAATATTCATATGAGATTTAGATTCTGTTTGTGGATCATATGGGCTGTTTCCTGGTAGTTACAAGTTTCTTTCCCCCCTTTTTCTGTTGGCTATTAAGCACCAGTTAACAGTGTTCACTGGTACGCTGCAAATTCAGGATTACATTAGCAATCCAAAGATTTCACAAGGATTTTCCAGATTTAATTTTCACCTACTCTCTCCTTTCTCTCCTAAGCAGGGAATGGATGTTTCCCAAACAGAAATATGGTTTTTAAAAAGCTTCTGTTGACAACACAATGCCAAAGAATTAAACAAAATGGAAACAGACAAAATGGTTTCCTCTGCAGTGATATAGATGCAAAATTAGTTTGCCCATCAACAGTATAGTTGCAAAAAAATTACTGAACAGCAAACTGGAAGCAGCACTGACAAAACTGAGGTCTGTGAGGTGGGAAACCTTATACCAAGCAGCCCAGTCCTCTGCTTGGCCTTCTCATTCCACAAAGAAAACACAGTGTGCATATATTCCTTAAAAGTTAGCCTTTAAATCTAGCACATATACTATTTTCACGGAGTTGTGCTTTTCTTTAAACTACCAAGATCATTGGGGATATAAAAGGTCTGCTTTAGCCTTGGAGCTGCCCTG